CAGGGTCTCTTCCTGAAGGCAGCCCCCCCCCTTAGCTAACTGGTGGGGCCGAGAGGTTGAAGGCCAGACTCTCCAGCTAGGGAGGCGGGTGGCTAATCTTCCAGAAAAACTAGGTAATACCATCAGGGGTGGCCAAGGGAGGTCCTGCCCAGCCTATGTGCCTCTTCCCAACCTGGGATCTCCAGGCAGGTGGACTTCAGGGCCACTGTTCTCAGCTCCCCCATCCTCTAGCCTGAACCCGGCACCCAGTGCCTCTCGCTCCAGCCAGCCCCACTAGGCCAGTGACCCACAGCTCTGGAGCGCCAGGTCAGGAGGTGCTCCCAGCAAGCCTCAGCACCAGGCGACCGCTCAGCAGGGACTGAGTCTTTTTTCTGGGTCTATGGAATCAGAGGCAGCCGCTGGCCCGGAAGGCTTCCTGCAGTGCGAAGGGGCTCCCAGATTCCCTTCTCAGCGACCCACCCTTCTTCACGTTTCCCTCCATGAGTGTGCACTGAGAGAGGCGCACCCCAGGCCCATCCCCTTGCCCAGCTGCCAACTGACTGTGGGTGCCACATTGTGCCTTTCCTCCCAGCCAGGCAGATGCCCTGAACCTGGCAAGATGCCGCCTTCAGCATGCTAGAAGGAGAGGCCAGGCCACAGGCTGATTTCAGCGCTGCTTCCTCCCCTTCCCTCAAGAGTCTGACGCAGCTCTTGCTCGTCTCCCAAGGTATTTTTAAACTGGGCGGCTGTTGCGTCCCAGGCGCCGGGAGAAGCAGCCGGCTTTCTGTTGCCTTGCCAAGCAAACCTGCTGGCCCGGGGCTGCCGCCTGGGCTGCGAGAGGCCTCTGGAAAGGCACGGGCAGGCTGGAGGTGGGCCAAGGCTCCTGTTGGCAGGACTGGCTGAGAATCTGTAGATGGCAGAAAAAGCTTCATGTCTTCCTCCCCTACAACGCCTGCTTCTCACCCAAGAGAGACTATTTAGAAACGTCCTCAATAAAGAGGAGAAATTGGGAGAATGATCCCAATTCTGGGGGAAGGGCTTGCTGGGGGAGGAGGTGTCCACGGCTTCTGGGTGAACGGCCCTCACGGCATGTGTTGTGCGGCCCCATCCTTCCTCTGGCCGCCCACACTCTACCTGCCTTCCTGCACTTTAGTTCCACTCCGACATTCAGGGGGAACCGCCCCAGTTGCAGCGCTACCACCGCTCCTGGGGTGGGGTCCTTCTCCAGAGACTCTGCAGGGTAACTCCGGCCCTGGAGAAACCTGGAGAAACCACCTACCAGGTTCTTTGCCCATGACTTTGAGGAGGATTTGGAAAGGCTGTTTTGCCTCCTGAAGAACCGCGATGCTCCTCCTCAAACATTCCTATTCTCTGATGGGAACTGGATGAGAATAGCTGAACTCTTCCTGGCCATTCCTTCACTCCACGCCCTACCCCAAAAAGGGAAAGGAAGGCTCTGCTTGGAGGAAGAAGAGAGCTACAGCCAACAAAGGGGATGCTGAATTGTGGGTCCTGAGCCCAGATTTCAAGAGTTGCCTACCACCTCATAATCTGGCCAATCCTGGTTTTAGGAAATCACCTCTGTACACGTTGGCAGAGAAGAGGCGGGGCTCCTTCCTTACCGAATTTGGAGTCAGGCCCATGTTGGCTTCAATGTAGGTCTCTGTCTTGGGTTCCACAGCCAGTTCAGCTTCAAGGATCTTCTCCACCGGCATATCCTCGTTAGCACTGCTGGTAGACTCAACCTCGTTCTCGTTGCGATCTTTGCCTCGTTGCCGCTCCTCCTGGACAGCTGGAAGTGCCAAGGGGGGGGGGTCAATCTGTGACCTTTGGATGCCGAAAGCTTTCGTAGCAGGGGGGCTTGGGAATGAGGTAAGCACCCTGTGGTCTATCTGCAGCACCCCCAGCACCCCATCTGCAACTTTCAGAGGCAATTCTGGCAGAGTTAATTTACTGTAAAGGTAGTCCTCGTTTAGTGACCACAACTGGGACTGGCAACTCAGCTGTTAAGCAAAGCAGTTGGTAAGTGAAACCGCGACTGGGCTTATGATCTTACTTCAGCTTTCCTTTGCAGTTGCTAAATGAAGACTACCCGTACGCTTCTTTATGTCGGGGTGGGGAATGGAAAGGGATAAATAATGGTTGTCTTGAGGCTTATGGGGGCTTAAGGCACACTACAGCCTTAAAAACCTTCTGCCAGCCCAAACTGGGCTGACTTTCCTCGCTATTTTGTGATTTTAAGGGGCAAAATGGGCAAGGCTTAACATGCCCGTTTTACCCAGAAGCTTCCTCCGTGCACAATTAAGCTGGGCTGGAAAATGCATCCTGGCCAAACCCTCATGCCCCCCAGGCAGGACCTAAAGGCAAAGCGCGGCCCCCAAGCCCCAGAGGCTGCCCTCCCATTTTGTAGAATAGCATGAACACCCAGCACGGTAGGTCTGTGGTTTTGTGCTTCGGGGAACTCTGACTTTCTCCAGCACGTTTGGGAAATCAGGCCACTGCATTAAACTGAGGTGGGCCCAGCAGGCTGTGAGAACACCAGGACTGTCCTTTTTGACCCTGCATGTGCTGAGCCCCCAAAACCACAGGTTGACAGCTGTTCAAAACATTGTGAGGCTGTGGTATGTTTCCATTTGGAATTAATGCGTTTGCTTCTGATGGTGGAGGAAACGCCCACCTGTGCGATTTTTGCCCTGGATTTGCTCCTGCCCTCTGACCCATCAATTTGGTTCATTAAAATATACATAGGCCAAACACACCGAAGTTAAACAATACGTTACACAGCAGCCAATAAAACCTATTCATCCCTGCACTAGACACACTGGGGAAACAATCAACTCCCAAAACTTCTCATTGTCACAGCAATGGTACAAAATTTGACTAGAATTCCAGAGACTTGCTGATCTTGGTTGTTTAGTAGGTAGCTCACAATTGCCCTAGAAAAGCGGTCTGAATAATTAGTACGTAATTAGAGGGGAGATTAACTAACCCATCAAGCACATTCCTTTCAAGGAAATCAAGTCCCTTCCAGATCTGGTCAAGGGCTCCCCCAGGAGATCAGAGGAGGGCTAATTCCTGAGTCACGCGGAGTCTAGTCACACACCCCCCCATGCAACAGAAACGCAGCTTACTTTCAGATTGCCCCCCTCCTCTCTGCTAACCAGGCGGAACAGGAAACCACCGTTCTTTGCTTTATCCTCTTCCACCCTGACTCTGCCCCCACCCCAAATTATGATAAGGTCGGAGTTGTTTCCCTTGCACCAAGTCACTTAATGAAGGCTGTTTCTATATCTTTCTTCGGGCATGTTTTCTGTCATGACCAGGACATGGTGGCAGATTTACATCCTGATGAGAAACGGGACAGAATTTTGCCTTCCCAGAATTTTCAGAAGGTTGAAGAGTTACTTCTTTTCTTTAAAAGGCAAGTGCGGGGGGGGGGGGGGGGGCAATGTCTGCAAAATCTTGCTGACCAGGCTCCTGCACCCGGTCCAAGCAGCTCCTGGGGAGAGGAGAAGATGCGCCACGGGGACGTCCAGGGGCACTTGGGCAGCTCTGGAGTCCCCCAGGGCAAAAAGAGGCCAAATGCCCTCTGGGGCAGAAGCCCAGGGTCCTCCATGCATGCCCCACGGGGGGAGCACTCCCGTACCCACTTCCCTCCCTCGGAGGTCTGGGATTGAGGGGGGGGGGAGGCAGAATGTCCCCAAGCTGCAAGGACCCCCAGACAACTATTCCGCTGCTTGCAGGCACAGCGCTCCCCAGCCCAAACAGCTGTGGCATCGAGAGTATTTTTCCTGGTGAGACACAGTAGCATCTTTTCTTTTGTTTTTCACTTGCTGTATTTGTAAGAAATGTTTTTTCTAAAGCAGACTACAAAACAACAGTGGCCAGTGTCAGGGTGTACAGACAGCACTCTCCTTTCTCATGTCTTTGGCCACCATGCGACAAAGAAAACGAACGCACACCTGTTCTCCGCCTGCCGCAGGTGCCCGGCATCCAATCCCCCCCAGCCAAGCCCTGCAGCACCCGAGTTTCCATGCTGGGGAAACCCTCACCCTCACCCTGGGGAAAGTTGCCCACGTCACGAGACACGCGGCCAAGGACAGCAGCTTCCTGTCCGACAAAGGACATCTCACCGGCAAGGAGGGGAACAGGATGGCTGGTGGGGGGCTGGAGGGCTGGAAGTCAGGCCCCTCCTTGCTTGAAACCACAAAGGAAGATGCAGAGGAGCAACCACCCGCCTGCCCCCCCCTTACGTTAGCCATTCATTCACTTTGACGGCAGTGACCCCACGGGTTTTGCCAAACCTGCCTGACTTTCTTGGTGCCACCCATTCCTCGTTCGCCCTTCTGCCCACCCTCCTGAGTGGCACATGGTTGGTTTCCTTTGGGGGACCCGATTCTCTCTGTATGACGCTCACTGCTGAGGCGCAAAGAAGAGCCAAAGCCCAGTCCAGAACTTCATATCCATCAACGTTTTTGGGAAACTGCTGCCTCGGGACGCTGCTGCCGACCCCTTCAGTGTGGGTCAGCCAGTGGCCCGCCTGCCCTCTGCCCGAGAGCAGCCTTCCTTGCAACACGCAGCGGGAGCCCACGTCAGCGGACCTGGCCGGGCTGCTCTTGCAGCTGAAGGCGGCCTGTCTAGCGTGGCCCGCGAAGGCCCTCCCTGCTCCCTCTCACTTCCAGGATGGACGGTCCCCCTGCACTGCCACCTTTCGTCATCGCAGCCTCCCCAGGAGCTGGAAATGGGGCCCTCCCCAAGGGCTCTGAAGGCTGTGGCAGCGAGACCAGCTTCTCATCTCCTTTTCCCTCATGAGTCCTAGCTTGAAGGGGTCTTAGAGGTCGGGTAGCCCACCCCCCTGCTCAGCATCTCCAGCAGATGACCAGTCAGCTCTTCTAGTGAGGGACAGCCAACCACGTCACGCTGCGCCTGTTGCTCCCCGGGAGCAGGGAGCCCTGGCTGGTCCTTGCAAGGAAGAAGATGGTTGTGCTCGCCTGGCTAGAGAGCCCTGGTTTACAGACAACGCCTCACACAGATCTGTAGGTGGGCCAGGCAGAACCTCAGCCCAACACACAGGGTCCCCAGCAGACCACCACTCATGAGGCCTCAGCCCAGTCCAAGACTTTGGCCCTGAAAGGGAGTAGCTTCCGTCAAATTGGGCTCGACCCCGAGTGCACCTCAGCCCACCCCGGACACCAGGTAGGAAGGCCTTAAGCAGAAATGAAGATGAGTGGACATTGCCCACCACCTGTTCCCAGCCCTGCTGTAATTCTGAGCTACGCTGCCTTTGCACATGGAGGCTCTAGTTAGCGCATGGCCAACAGAACAACCTGCCAGCTTGTTCTCAGGAACTGCAGAGCCATACCTATTGGGTTAAAGAATTTAATTCAACTGTCCCCAATTCCACAGTTCCCAAACCCTCAGGGGTGCCATGGAATATTTTACTACTTAATAAATGGGACTGTTACTGAGCTTGTGGCGGCACTCAGGGCACCGCAGCACAGAGTTCGGAAACGGCCGGGGGCACCGTGAACCAAGGACTTCTACCCGAATCCTTCCGCTCCAGCAGCATGTTGCATTAGCAATGCAAGCACCAGCTTAAAGGGTCTCCTGTCCAGAACGCTGCACTGGGAAACATGGGCCGTGCGGTTCCATAATGCAGACTCTGAGCCACAGAAACCACCCTCTGCAGCCTGCCTGAATTACGCCTTTAACCCTAGGAGGCTGCCTGGAGTTGCTTGGATGATCCTGAGTGCACTGGAGTTTGCACGATGCTGTGTGGAACTGGCCCCACAGAGACGCACGAGCCACAGAAGCCCTCGGGGTGACTGTGGGCCGGCCCCGCTCTCCCTTTGGGCACCGGCTGTTTCTCGCTCTGCTTATTTCTCTGCCTCTTCAGTTTCCCCTGGGGCAGACAAAGGCGCCTCCGAACCTGGACGAAGGGGCGCCTCTTCCTGACCCTTTGGTCCCTCCACGAGGGGCCCTCGGCCGGGGAGGCTCTGCAGCGCTTACTTCCTCCTCTCTTTGGAGAAGAGAACCTGCTTCCGCAAAGGCCTGGGTGGAGCCGGCGAGAAGGACGCCGGATTCTGGGAGGCCCTGGCCTCTCCATTCCGCCTTCACAACCCTTCGGGGGACACCAACACATCTTGCTGCTTAGCAGCCGGTCCAAGAACATTGAAATGGGAGTACCTGGTTGCTCCTGCCTTCCAGGGAGTCTTGTGGGCCGGGATGGATGGTGCTCCATCCCTGTAATAGAGTAGAAATTTTGAAATGAAACACGGTTAGAGGAAACGCTGCTGCTGCTGCTCCTCCGCGCTCCGATTCTTAAGTCGCTGCCCTCGGCTCTGGCAGCACCACCGAAAGACACGGCGCTTGGACATTTCACTGAGCTGGCCAGAAAGGCGCCCTTCTCTCTTGCTCACCTCACATCAAGGCTTTGTGACCACGTGGCGCCGGGCCATTTCGAGCCCCTTTTCCTCTCTCTCTCTCTTCACCCCTGCTACACTCAAGCCTTTGCGGAGGGGGGGATGAGAAGAGGCAGGAAGAGGCCATTTCTCTCACGAGCCGCTGGAGGAGAGCCCACGGAGCCTGGGGGGGCATTATTTGCAGTACATTCCCATCAAGCAAACCAGGAACACTAACAGCCAGGACCTGAACCCGCTCCCTTCCCCACCCCGCTCTCTCCGTCCGTGCGGTGTCGCGTCTTCCTTTAAACTAAAATTCGGATTGCAGAGAATAAGCGTGTGCCACCTTGATTTTATTACCTTGCAAACATTTTGGGGAGCCTGCCGGGCTGAGTGGATAAAAACACTTTCAATAAATACTGGATATTTCTGGGGTCTGCATCTTCTTAGGATGGGATGGGGAGGGGCTGGCTGAGATGACCAGACCTAAACGCCTCCTAGCCAGGACCCTCTCTCTGCCCACCCCACCCCGCCCCACCCCGGATACCACAACCCCAGACCGAAATGAGAAGTTATTTGGGAAATGTGGGGGGCAGGCACAATGCCCCTTGCATCCCTAATCTGGCGCAGTAGGGTTGGAGGGTTGGAGCAGGAAAATTCACAGGGGAAACATCACGCAGCTCAGGGTTCTCCATCATGCTGCCTTTGCTTCAGATTAAATAAAACTCGTTTTTTCAGAATAAGGGCCAGTTTTGGCACAGCCAAAGAAATGCTCACGGCAGGTGGATTGTGTCCAGAGCTGGCAGGAGACTTCTGCCACCCAAGATGGCAGTGCATGATACAAAGAGCACCCCACCAGAATTTCTTCTCGTGGTGCAAAAGAGGCTGGGGATCATGTCAAACACATTACTAGAACAAGAGTGCAATCTTATTCTTGTGCGTGAAAGGCGTCGTAGGTGCATCTCAGCAGCCTGCTTGCTTCTAAAATCAGACCATTTCTAGTCCTTCCCGACTTTTCAGATTGAGAAACAGTCTCTCTGTGGATTCTCTGTTTCACAGATGTCTACCACATGCAAGCCACAACCATTTCCTGGACTCAGAATGCGCATGACTGTCGTCTGCAGAGCGGAGTCTACTGTCACCGTTCACACACATTTCGGATGAGAAGGACCTGAGTTCTCATCTCAGCTTCAGGACCCTTCTGCTGCTCCGGACGGCAGTCTTCCTCAATCAGGGACATTTCATGCTTCTGGGTTGTTTGCTCTGAGAAAGGCTCTGGTAGTTTATAAAGATCAGAAACTGTACCCTAGGACGAATCAGAACTTTTTTGCCCAGCTAAAAATCTATACTCAAGTCAACAGATGGGACGGGTTTTTTCTATTATTTTCTCACGGCTGTTCAGCCTTTGCTGAACCCACTATGGCACATTCAGTCTTGTCTTAGCAGGAATGGCAAGAAAGAAGAAAGCTGGATTTTCAACAGTGGAGAGGGTTGAAATATTGCCCAGAAGGGCAATGGTGATCCAAAGCGATGCCAGGGCTCTACAAATGAGAAGAAAGCCCGTGTGCAGCCTTGGAGCTGCCAGAGAACAGTGACGAAAGAAAGCACACACACACCCCGCCCTTCTTGCGAGCAGAAGCGAAGTCAGCACGTTTGGGCAAAGTGAGTTGAAAGGGGCAGCTGTTACACCTGATTAACTACAGCACAGGAAAAGGGGGGGGCTGGGATGGAAGATGAGAGAAGGAGTATCCGTGGAGTTTGTGGTGCTCCCTGAACTTGGTGTTTGCTTGCAGACGTTTCATTACCCAGTTAGGCAACATGATCAGTGCGCTGATCACTCGTCCACAAGCAAACAACTAAGCACCAAGGACTCCACAATTCAACCCTGAGTTACACACACTCCCTTCCATTGAAGAATATCTGGCAGAGGCCTGGGGGTTCAGAACCCCCCATCATTCTTAGATGCCTAAGCCTCGTTCGAAATCTATAGAGTCCTTGAGAGTTGGGTGGCATACAAGTTTAAATTATTATTATTATTATTATTATTATTATTATTATTATTATTATTCACAACTTGATCATTCTTATGAGTTAATCCATTTTTGCAGTAGGCAGACAGAGAAAAGAAGTTACATTAATGGTTTACTTTAATGGTTTTTGAAGGAAGTACGGAGGAAAACTCCAGGGGCATCAATCACTCTTACGGGCCTTTACAGAGGGGACAGCAGCCTGTAGTCCTCCAGGCACTCTTGTGTCATTCCTGGGGCCTCCTTTCCACAAGTCACTTAGCCCAATTAAAGGCGAGCTGCTGCATTTCTACAATTGGTTAAACCTGGTTACTTTCAACCTGAGTCGGTTCTTTTGTAGCTTAGTGTGCTGCATGAATCCAGCCCACTTGATTCAGGTTGTTGTGCAAATGCAGCAAATGATTAACTAAGTAACCAGGATAAATGTGTTAATTTCAGTTTCTCCCAGGTATCTGGGCAAGAAAATTCTACTGAAGCAAATAATGCTCCGACTGCAAATCGGGAGGCAGCTGGGGGAGGGCAGGAGATGACCTCTGCCTTGAGAGGCACCCTTCTCGCTGAGGTTCCCAGGTGGGCGTCTTTCCCAGGACCCCCAAGCTCTTCCCCCTTTCAGCTTTCTAACTGTTGGTGGCACATCAGGAGCAAGGACTCTCCAGCTGTCTTGGAGAGCTGGAATGTTATGCAAGTAAGACAAACATATTTCTACCAAGATAGGTGGAGTTTCCAAGATGGGCGGGAGGGAGGAAGGAAGGAATCTGGAGAAGTTAAATCTGTGGGCACAAGTAGGCAGATTGAAAAGAAATCTCCAGAAAGACAGACAACTGCTATTTCTCTGGTCACACATTAACCACCAAGTTGTTTGCTCTGACCCACCCTGCTGACGACATTTTCCTTCACAGAGGAAGGAGGAAGAAAGCGCAAGGGGGGATCAGCAATCCTTGAGGACAGGGGAAATTTAATGCCCCCCCCCATAATTTTTTTTCTGTTAGGTACCTTCACCTCATCTCCCAGCCTGCAGCAAAGACAGCTTCAAGTCACCCTTCCAGTTCTAACGCAGTTTCCTTTCCTATCCTTACACCATTTTTGCCACAGACACAGCCTAGGATGCTCCGTCAATGCCACGGCCAGGACCGGCCTTTTGCCCAGCTGCCCCAAGCTGCTGCGGATGGGACCCCTCCCCTCCGGTCATCGACCGGGCTGCAGGGGAGACTGGACCCCTGGCCTCCACGGAGGCTTCTGCCCACACAGTGCCTCAGCAGCATTTCTCAAAGCCCTTGCCAGGTCTTCTTAGATCCATGGGATCCTTGTTAACGCAGATTCAGCACTCTCTAGAAACAGCACTAGGCCCTTCTGGAAACGCGGGAGCAGGGTGCCCCCTGGAAGGGTGACTCAAACCAGGAAAGACGCCAGGTTTGGCCAGCAGCGTGTTGCGTGGCTGTCTCCCTCCCGCTCTTCTAGCGCCCCTCCGAAGCCCTCCTCTGACGGCCTGTCGCCAGGCTCCGTCTCCCGGCCACCCCTTGGAGCTGAGAGGAGGGCAGAAAGCAGGAAGAGGCAAATAAAGGAGGGCTGCCAAGGTGGGGCAGAAACAACAGTGGCCGCTGTTAGAAAAGCTGATGCCCAGAAGAAACGGCGGTTATCAGACAAAGTGAAGGAGGGCAAGAGGAAGTATGTTCAGCCTAGATGGAAAAGGAATCGGTACGTCAGATGCTCAGGGAAGGTAGCCAAGGAACGATAGAAAACAAAGCAGAAAGCCTCTGCTCCAGGGTGGGGAGGGGCGGGCTTCTCTGAGGACAGGATAAGTGTTCCCGAGGGAAATTAAGAAGGACTGGTGAAGGAATAGAATGCAAGCCTGGGCATCTTAGGGATCTGATCAGGGAGTGTCTATTGACCTTGAATGAGTTCAGATCTCCAGGGCTCCACGCAGGGTACGGAACAGCCTGGGCCAAATCTCTGGGAAGCCCCACAGAACATAAGCATCGGACACTGGAAGGGACCCCCGCCCCTGCCCAACCACCAAATCCAGGGAACAGCAGACCAGTCGGCCTGGCCTCAACGCTTGGGGTTTGGAAAGCGGCAGTGAGGATGATGATGGGGAACTAGAAGATAAGTCTTCTGAGAAGGGAACTGGGTAACCTTGAGAAAAGATGACTTAAGGGGGAGATAGGACAGTGCTTTCAGTTATGGCAGTGGTGGATATGAGCAGGCATAATGGTGGCATCGCCACATCTTCTGTGTAGCAGCGTGGCTTCCATGGAGAACTGTCCAAGGGAGATCTTTCAAGTTGTTGAGCAGATGGCCGTGTCTTCTGCGGCTCTGGCTGGCTCTCAGATTGCATCGGAGCCAAACTGTGAGCAATTTGGGTGCTGCTGCACGAACCGCTTGGGCCGGGACCCATTCCTACGATGCCTCCCACATGGTCCAATAAGATTCATCTGAGACAGTTCTGGAACTGGTTTTCCTGAGGAGGTGGAGAAGCATCTTGAATCTGTGTGCTGGATCCCTCCCTGGCTTAGCTGGCACGGCCCTCTAAAAACTTTGCCCCCAAGAAAAGTATTAAAATGCTCTTACCAACCCTCGGCAGGGCAGAGTTTCCTGCCCCCTTAAAAAGGCAACAGAGCTGCTCTTGCTCACGAAACTATCTTTGGACCCAGCTGAATTCACAACAGTGTCCAGTAACCCATATTTAGCCAGGTTGGTGGAAAAGGCAACAGCATAGCAACTCCAGGAGCTCTTGGATGAAACACACTGTCTTCACCCTTTTCAACCTGGATTTAGACCTGGATATGGCCAAGTGGCCCCCTCAACAGGTGCTCAGTACCAGGAGAGAGACAGGTTAGGGACATGCAGTTCTACTTCCTTCTGGCCGCCGCAGGTGGGGGGCCTCCGAATGACTCCAGGCCGAAAGGAAGAACAATGTGGGAATATGACTGATTCTGAACTGGGAAGAAAGGCCTGTTCTGGGGGGGCGGGTCACACCACCCTTACAGAGCAGGTGGCAGCCTGGGGCACCTCTTGGACCTGCAGGATCCGGGCCCTGTGGCAAGGAGGGCCTTTAGCGGCTTTGGCCGAGAAGCCACTGGTTCCCGCCTGGAGGAGAAAGACCCAGTTTGGGCGACGTGGGCACCAGTGACTGCAGGGTGGGAAGACTGGATGGAGTGTAGGATCACCCCTCCTGCCCTACCTGCCTGGCACGTTTTGCAGGTCCTGCTGTGAACAGAGTCATCCTCTATGGCTGCTTCTGCTTTCCCTGGGCAGGTCCAGTTCTGGAACAAGCTGTCCCTTTGCTAGAACTGGGAGGACACTCCGAGCCCAGCTACTTATCCAAGCCTTTTAACTGCATAGCATTTAACTGATTTAAAATCCAGTGCTTTATTCTTTTAAACTTTGCTGCAATTGTACCTCTGGCGTTCTAATTAGATAGCTATAAGCACCCTGATCCGTTAAAAGAGGTTCGTGGCTTACAGCCACTTAAATAATTCATCAAAATGAACACCAGAAGGAGCGTCAAGCAAGGGAAGGTGAAGACCTGTTCTCTGCGCCACCCCCCACCCCCCATGCCAAGTGGCAAGAAAAGCTTCAGAGGGCAAGAGCTGTTTGTGAGAGCGAGAGGAGACCCCGGGAGGGCGGGCTCCAGAGGAGGCTGGCAGCCATCTGCCAGGGGCGCCCAAGGTTGGATTCCTGCCCGGAGGAGGCAGGGGCACTGCATGGCGCCAGGGCTAAAGCCGAGCCCAAGGCAGGAAGCGCCAACGTGGAAGCCAAGGGCTGCCTCCTGCGCCAGATCCCACACGTTGTTGAAAAGAAGGCCACCAAGCAGAGAGCGGTGCCATTCCCCTGCACTCCCCTTCCAAACAAAGGGGGAGGAAGGCAAGTGCCCCCCCCCCCAAAATTCAGTCCATCCTTCCATGGGGCCATCATGATCAACTGCCCTGTGAATTTTGTTTTTGAACGGCTGGCTGCATTTTCATTTATGGTTATTTCTACTTCTTGTGAGCCACAATTGTTAACCTGAAAAGAGGGACACAAAAAATTGCCATCAATGAATGAAGAGCATCTTGGCCACGGGATGGTACTATTTTCCTAAGTCTGATGCCTGGAAAGGCTGGTAAGGAGGGTCCTATCCAGAAGATGGAACCTCCACTTCCTGAGGCAGACTATCTTGAAGAGGGGTTGCCAGAGAACAGCAGAAGGGGGAGGCATTTCTCTCCCACCCTGCTCGGGAGCTGCCAAGAGGTTTCTCGCTTCCTCCTCCTGAAACCAGGAACCTGCCTGGGTCTTTGGTCCAGAAGCGAACCCAGTCTACACCCCAAGTCCACCTGCAGATGGCCGGCCTACCTGCCCACACCTTCAAGGAAGGGACTGCCGGGCTCACCGCCCACCTCCTTACCTGCAGAAGCTGCTTGCCAGCCTGTGCCCCCATGCGGCCTGAGGGAATGCCATCCCCACGAGCAGCCCAAGCAGCTGCCTCAGAGGCGGGCAGAAGTTCCAGAGAAGCTGGCTCCCTCGCCCCTATTCCGGCCCTCTCCCTGGGTTCAGGAGCTTGGCAGAGCGCCCAGAAGCATCAGTTCTGTGGGCCTGGCAGCCTGGGCGAGCGCCTTCTGCAGAGCCAGCCACAGAGCAGACCTCGCTGGGGCCACGCTGAGTGTCCCGATCAAAGCCGGGGGCAGGCAACGCTCTTCCCGAGGAGGCCAGAGGGAAAGCTGGCGCCCCTCCCTTCCACACCTCAGCAGCTGCGGCTTGCAAGCTAAGGAGAGGCGTACTTAGATGGGAGACCACCATGGAATCCCAGAGCACAGGCTGGAAGTCAACCTCCTCCTGGAGGAAGCAAGAGGAAGCTGTTTGCCTTCCAAAGCCAAATTGCCCTCAGTGATGCCCATGTGGTGCCAGGCGTCAGGCTGGACTGAAGAAGCCTCACTTGTCCTGTGGATTTTCCTGGCTTCTTCCCAATGCCCCAACTGGGCATCCCTTCTGCCCTCACGGGGGCTGCTCCTCATCAACCTGCCGGGCATTTTCTGCCCTCTGGAAGATGCTGCTTTATTAGAGGAAGGTGAGGGGAGACCCTTAAACTATGATTTGAAGCACTGGACAAGCCAAGGAAGGACACTCCCAGGTGACACTTGAGAGCCTGCGGAACGCACTGCCACAGGAAGCCCACTAACTTAGACAGGCGGAGAAGTCACAGAAGACCAGCGGGCAAAAACCGCACAGCTGCTGGGCGGGGAGGCTACTGAGGTCGGGTTCCTCCTACCACCTGCCTTACAGCTGCCCCCTTCTGACCTGCCCCCTCCAAGCCCCCTTCTTCCCTGCCCTTCCTCCAGCTCCTGCAGGAAGAGCGGGCCTGAGCTTTCCATTCATGGCCCAAAGCCCAGGGCCCAATGAGGGTTCCGCTGCCACCCTCCCCTCTGGCCTTTCTGCAGAGGCCAAGATGTCTGTGGCCGTAGCCAGGTCACCCTGACAGCCATGAAGGTGGCTGGGCTGGGAGAGAGGGAGACAGGGCTTGGGTCCCCCGGTGGAGGGAGAGAGGGGACAGGGCCTCCCCAACCCCACAGAAGCCCTCCTCCTCTGCCTTGTCTATCGCACATGGAGATGATTAACTGGTGCCCTTGGTCAGTAATTATTCCCAGCAGCTCCTCTGAGCTTGTATCCCAGCTTTCTACCAAGGCAACAGAACAGCACGCATTTTGTCTTCACTACAACCCTGCAAGGAGGTACACGGGGGGGGGACACACCCACTAAACACACTCCCTGAGTTTCATAGCCAACCAACTTGGATTTGAATGATGCAAAACGTCTCCACTGAAGAGCAATCCTTTTTCCACCACTGAACTCTTTGGGGAGGATAAAGAAGATGACAGTATTTTAAAAGACAAGTTAAAAATTACTCAGTCAATTGGCAAAAAGCCTGTAGGACCTGCAAACATCACTGCCTTGCCTTAATGGGCCAAAAGAATAACCTTGAGGAACAGGAGGAAGAGCCACAATGAAGACAACGGTCAGATGAAAGAAATCTGAGTCCGGGACAGAAATGTAATCCAGGAAAGCAAGGGAGGGAAAGGGAAAGCACATTCAGACTTGCAAGATTCTGTTACTCTAACCTTATAATAAAGGAAGTATTAGCACACATGACTTTGGTTTCCTACTCTGGTCTACCATGAAGGGCTGACATGTCCAACACCCGGCACCCATCTGAATGTTCTCCTGGAGATTTCCCACCCCTGCGTCCCAGCCAGCCATTCTGGAGAAGGCCACAACTGGAGAAAGAGGAGGACCTTCTCATGGAGGGGGAGCAGGCACGCCTGTGCAGGGAACCAGACCACCCCAAGCCCACCCAGAAGATCCACAGGGCTGGTGATGAGAACTGGCGTGCTGAAATTACTGCTACGTGCACTTTCCTGGAAGAGAACGCAACCAAGGCCCAGCCTTCTTCTAAACCCACCTAAGAGAGCTCCTTCCTTGGTGGCTTTCAAGGACACGAGGAGGAGAAAGGACACACAGCAGCGGTGTCGGCGCCAAAGTTACTTCCTAAGAACACCAAGGGTGTGAAATCCACTCCGTAATGTTCCCTGAGCAGACTATACAAAACAGTCCTAAATGGACTTTTTTTTAACCATAAGCCTCTAGTCCTTATGATCATATCCAAGTCTTGGAAAGAGAGCGTTGCCATCTCATGCCCGAGGGACACCAAAATACAATGTCCAGTGGTCACGGCATGGATGCTGATGCAAAATGGACAGCGTGGAATCATGGAAAAATGCAAAGTTGTGAGGATTAAAAAAAAAAGGAATGCGAACTGCTATGCTCTAAACTGGCAACGCCTCTGTTTGGCAAAACGTTGGTTTACTACTTGAGCAGTTTCCTCTTCTTTCCTGAGAGGGCAGCGGTTCCTCACTGACCTGGGTCAACCACTGCAGTTCTCAGACCTGACCTGCATGTTACCGAGAACGAAGCGGCAGGCCTGGGACTCGCCTCCATCAAGCTAGACCCCGACATCGAAGGAATGAGGCGTGCGTGTAAGCGAGGAGCAAGGCCGTGCGCTCGGCCCAAGGAAGGGAGCTTCAGCTGATTCCGCAGGGCCAACAGATAAATTCTGAATGCTCAAGTGCATTCGAAATATCGCTGTTGTCCAGTGGAGAGGAGGTTGGTCTAGGCCAGTGTTTCTCAACCTTACCAACTTTAAGATGGGTGGACTTCAACTCCAGAATTCCCCAGCCAGCCCTCTGGGTCTAGACCCTTCCAGCCCTGCCATCCTGTGATTCCATCTTATTTGACCACCAGAAGGACACTGACTATGCAGGACAGCATTCAGAGCGATGACCGGCCTGAACTCTTTCCGGCCTTACCTTCCCTCTTCATGCCCATTGCCAGGCATTTCTGGTACCGGCAGTACTGGCACCGGTTCCGCTGGCGCTTGTCGATAAGACAGTCTTTATTGTCCCGGCAAGTGTAAGTCAGGTCCTTCCGCACCGTCCGCTTGAAGAACCCCTTGCAGCCCTCGCAGCTGTACACCCCATAATGTTTACCTGGGCAGGGAGAGAAGATGGGGGGCCGGTAGGAAGGAGGTGGGCACGGGGACGCCCAGGCCCTGCTTGGCACCACAAACCCAACGGGGTGGGACCGGAGTGGCAACGCAATCTGGATTGTGGGTCTGAGCCTAAACTCCGGCCTTCAAAGAGATCGGTTCTATTTCACTTCAGCATCTTGATGCCCTCGACGCAGGGGCAGGAAGGGTCACCATATTCCTTTTTGAGACCAAGTCCTCTTGCCACCCAGGGGAGGCACTCGGCCAAAGGTTAATGGGGCATGAGCTACCTCAGCTCAGAATGATGGTGCCAGAATCCGGACAGAGAGATTCAGCTGCCAGATCCTGAAGGCCCACAGAACGCTGTGAGCGTGGGGCGTTTCATGCGAGAGGGAGGAGAGCCCTTAGTTAGCAAGCACGAAGACGTCTCGTGCCCACTCGTGAGAAGTTCCAGAACTGCAATCAGAAACTAACTGGGAGCAGAGACTTTGCCACAGCGGCAATTCCAGCTGGCGTTACCTGAGGATCTGTCTCCACAGATGGCACAGATGTGCTTGGTGAAGGAGGCCATGGCGGATGACGGGTGCACGGGCACCTTGAGAACCCCGTTGAGGCCCAGGGGAGGCTTGACGTCTTCGGTGCTGCTCACCGGGTTCAGGGGGGAATTGAGCTGGGAGGAAACAGAGACAAGAAAGGGAGGTCTGCAGTTAGAAACCCTGCCCAGCACCCGCCATGGAGGGCAGTGCCATGGGCGGTCAGGGCAAACGTGCACAGCTTGACCCAGTAACAAGGCAGGACCACAGAGTGCAGCCAGCAAACAAAGGCTTCTGGGGTGGGCAAGGACCTGCACCATGGCTGAGCAATCACCCCAAGCAACCCCACCCGAGGCCCCCAGGTCTCCCTGCTGCCCAACAGTCCTCGTTCTCTCTTAGCACCCCCAAGGGCTGGGGGGGTCGATTCAAGCCTTCCCTTGTTCGTGGTGAACAAGCTTTGCTAATGCAAGTGAGACGGGCAGAGATGCTGCGTGCCAATTCTGGGTTTACTCTGTTTCCCATTTTTTACCTACTTCCACACCAGTTTGCAACATACACATTTTCAACTGCATTCTTTTAATACATGTTTGCATCTCCTCTTTCAAAAATAGTTTGAGAGAGGTTTCCCCAATCTAATGTGGCTCTGTGAGCTTTTTTCATTTGCAAACCACCCTGTTTCCTCTAGAAAAATGCCGCCATCAGCACAATCCTATCTCCTGGCTTGCATGCATGTTTGGGAAGTGAGAATCGGGTCTTCCCGCCACAAAAGAAGAACGGAATGCCTCCGTCTCCCAGACTGCGCCAGCCCCACGTGCCAGGCCCGTGACCTGCCCAGGCTGAGGGGGAGACCTTCTGATTGGGCCTCCTGGATGCTGAAAGACCAGGACCACCCCCCATCACACGAAACCAACACAGCAGGCAAATTCAAATAAAGCTGCTTATAGATTTCCCTGTTTTGAATAGACTTGCATTACAAAATTCTTTATTTCTTTTAGCCACGTATTACACTTCTTAGTGAAAAAACCAGTTTATGGATGTTTTATTGTGTTTTATCCATTTCTCTATACAATCCGGCCTTCGGTCAAAATTCCCAAGGCGGCTTATCTTGTCCTTCCTCCACTGGCCTCTGTCGCCCCATTTGTGCAGAGCTCTGGCGAGGTGGGTCCGACTCAGAGATGGTATCTGCCTGAAGAGCCCCACCATTGAGCTCTGGAGCCCGCTGGGGTTCTAGGCCTGGGTTTCCACCCCTCCCAAGCTGCTCATGAGGCCCAATCCCCCAGCTGGCAATGCAGGCCAGTGAGACTCTGGATGCTAGCCCAGTTGGATTTGGGCCTGAAACCCAAAATCTTTTTGGGGCTCCTGGCCAGGGATTTCTGGTGTGGGCCCAGGAGCAGCCGCACGGCACGAGGGTGGGTGTGCACGGCGTGTCAGCTACAGACCCAGCCGCTGCATTCACGCAGCAGCCAGGCTTGGTTGGCTGCACTGCCACTGCACGTTGGGGGAAGGTACCCTGGACGCAAGGAGGGCAGGCCGTTCCTCTCTTGGCGGACCCTCCCAAACCACAGAGCCCAAACTCCCTTACGAACTGTCAGATATGGGGGGATCCGGCATAAAAGCTCGCAAACAAGAAACAGTAAGAGAGGAGCAGGCGGCCCTCGGGCGGCTCGGCCAGGCTAACTGGAGATGGAGAAGCCGCATCAGGCAGCGGCGGACTTCCTGCAGGGCTTGGGACTGAACCTGCAGCCCAGCGCAGCCTGCCCGGGAGCCCGCAGCCCAACACGCGGCTGCCCTCGGGACGGGCAAGCAGATAGTGGGAAGGTTGCCCCCCGGCCACCTCCGCTGCTCCCGGCCCACGCGCGG